GGAGGAGGGAGAGACAACTGAGAGAAACTGCCAGGCACCAGAGGATTCCCCCATTTAATCCTCACGGGTAGGTGTGGTTTTATAGATGTGGAACCTGAGTTTCAGAGGAGTTAGGTTCCTTTGCTGGGGGAAGTCCGTGGATGTTGGAGCCAGAACTCAGACCTTGGTTAGTCCTATTCCAGAGCCAATGCTTTTTCGTGACAGACACACATAGAGGGAGGAGGAGAAGCAGTTAAGGGAGAAGTAACTGAGGTGGGGGAGGGGGCACCTGGACAGGCCTGGCACCAGGACCCCCTTCTTCTGCCCCACCTAGGTGAGGTGTCTGGACGCACCCTCATCGACATTGGTTCAGGCCCCACCATATACCAGCTGCTTAGCGCCTGTACCCACTTTGAGGACATCACCATGACAGACTTCCTGGAGGTGAACCGCCAAGAGTTGGGGCTCTGGCTGCGGGAGGAAGCCGGGGCCTTTGATTGGAGCACGTATAGCCGGCACGTCTGCCTCATTGAGGGCAAGGGGTAAGGGCTAGGGGATGAGAGTTGGGCAGGGGGCCTCCCATACAATGGCTAATGGGGGGAGGGTAACAGAGGATTGAGTGTGGGGCTGTCCTGAGCCCTGGTCCTGATGCCACCTTCTGCCCCTGCACAGTGAGTCCTGGCAGGAGAAAGAGCACCAGCTTCGAGCCACGGTGAAGAGGGTCCTGCCCATTGATGTGCACCAGCCCCAGCCCCTGGGTACTGGGAGCCTGGCTCCCCTGCCTGCTGATGCCCTGGTCTCTGCCTTCTGCCTAGAGGCAGTGAGCCCAGATCTTGCCAGCTTCCAGCGGGCCCTGGACCATATCACCACACTGCTGAGGCCTGGGGGGCACCTCCTCCTCATTGGGGCCCTGGAAGAGTCGTGGTACCTGGCTGGGGAAGTCAGGCTGGTAGTGGTGCCAGTGTGTGAGGAAGAGGTGAGGGAGGCCCTGGTGCACAGCGGCTACGAGGTGCGGGACCTGCGCACCTACACCATGCCTGCCCATCTTCGGACAGGTGTAGACGATGTCAAAGGCATCTTCTTTGCCTGGGCCCAGAAGAAGGTCGGGGTGTGATGCCCCAGTGCAGCCAGTGCCAGCAGCCCTCATCCACCCATATTCCCTATTATCTGAGGTGGCACCTAATAAAGAAATGTCTCTGCTGCTGAGTGTCAGTGCTTTCTGTAGCTCTCCTGGGAAGCATCAAGGACCAAGAGCTTGCTCTTATGTTGTGGGGATGTGGGAAGACATCGATCCTAACCGTTTTTTCCAGAAGCTTCCATGAACGTAGGTTTCTGTACCACTCATTCTTCCCAAACTAAGGAAGGCCTAGGTCAGAGGGACCTTGGTCAGCATCTACTGTGTGTCAGGTACCTACCAAGTCCATTTGGTCCTCATACTCAGCAGCAGGTCCAGTTATCCTGTTTGCAGATGAAGCTCAGAAAGGTTCAGGCCAGAAGGGGAGGATGGGGGTAGAATTAAGAGACTGAGCGGAAACTGAAGGAGGCAGGGTTACAATCTAGGCACAAACAAAAGCCCAGAAAAGTGAGAGGGGAAGAACGGGCGCCGGCTCTCTCCCCCAGCTCCCTGCACGAGCTGGACTGGAGTTCCGCACAGCTCTGCTGTTGCTCTGTATCTGGTCCCCGCCACCCTCACACCCACATACCTAAGTAGAGACCCCATCCATCTGCTGCCTCTAGCCAGTGCTGTCTCCTCCTTCCTTCCAGCCCACCGTACTCACACTACGAACAAGGGTAGATGAGGTTGGAAAATGGTTTATTAAGAATGTCTCTTGCTACCCTCCAACCTTAAAATATTTCTCAGTATCAAAAGAAATTAACACAGGCCACCCCAGTCCCTTTGGCTGGAGTCTTAGCATAGTGCCCCTACCCCAGGGAGGGACAAGGCAGCCGGGAAAGAGCAAGAGATGCCCTGTCCCTGTTCTAATTACAGGGAATGCCTTAGGATGGAAAGTTTCTGGAGCTCCGCATCTATCCCAGAGCTGCCAGCAACTGACAGGGTCACCTTTAGTGGGGGGCAGGCACAGCACAGCTGCCGCCTGCCTCTGGGAAGGCTAGAAACCAGACCCAGCCACAAGCCTTTTCCCCTCCTCCCTCAGATTGCCCCTACCCTTCCCCAGGGTCCAGGCTGTGGCAAAGGGGCTTAGTAGGCAGGGCACTGGGCTGGAGGGGCCCGGAGAATGCCCATTTTCCCTCTTCCTTCTGCCTCCCAAGTTGCTCATTCTGGAAGGTGATCTTGAGTTGTGTAGGTGCCCTATGTGGTTTGCAAAGGGGGCCTTTTTTTACAGACAGAAACACATATACAAACACATATACAAACATACAGCCTGGACACCCATACCCCCAGCCAGATCTTGGGGATACTCTGGCTTTCTGCCTGGCCTGGGGCTTTGCAGAGTTGGTGCTCAATAAATGGTTGGTGATTGTGACTTGATTCTCATCCTGCTCCAAAGTCCCCTATGTGGTACACTCATCTGCACTCACGCTCAGTCTATGTATACTCCTCTAACTTATACTAACCCCCACCCCAACACACACACTTTAAAACCACTCTCCACACTGTACCAGGCCAGAGCTCAAACACACTGTCCTACCCAGCATTCCACACACCCCAGGCCTGTGCTCACCACCCTATCACCTACACACTTGGTCTGATCCACACTCTCTTACATACTTGTGTGTAGGTTCCCAACCAGAACACCAACACAGAGGCCAGGGGCACTCTTGTCCTGGGCTCTCTGGGGTCCTGGCCCAAAATGGGGAGTGTGACGAGGCCGCCTAGGGGTCTGGCCAAGGCAATAGTCAGGGTGAGACTGCTCCTCAATCCCAACAGCTTGGTCCCTCAAGAACCCAAGGGGGAAATGCCACCTGCCTTAAAACGTGGGCAGCCAAAGAGCAAGTGTCTAGTGCCACCTAGTGGTCCCTGGAGGAGGGCATGGGGGTAACAAAAGATCCCTAGACGCTTGGTACCACCTGGTCTCCCAGCTAGCCAGAGGGCTAGGGGAACCACCTAGGCAGTGAGGGGATGAGGAGGAGGCTGACAGAGAGGCAGAGGCAGCTCTCCTCTCAGTGGCTAAGAATACAGCTCCACTCCAGTTCAGCTCAGGAACCAGAGGGGCTACCCGTTCTCTATCCCTAGATGCTTAGAGGCCAGGCCCTAACAGATGCCAAGACCTGTGAGAACCATGTGGAGTGAGCAATGGGCAGGTGACATGATTCTGGGCCCACACCCTTCATGTCTAAGTTCAAGATGCAAAAGGGAAAAAATAAATCATCTCAAGGACTGGAGAGAGGAGAGCCAACAGGGAGGGGGCAGAATCCCCAGTAGGGCAGTCCCGCTCCCAGGGCCTTCAGTCCATCTTGAACTTGGCCTTTGATTCCTTCAGCAGGTATAGGCTGTCATCTTCCAGAAAGCTGTGAGCAGAGGAAGAAACTCACTGAGGCTTAACTCTGAGAGCGCCCCCTGGGGGCAGGGTGGGGGTGAATGTCGGCAAGCAGGTAGGGGGCAAAGTGGCAGGGAATTCAGTTGGCCCTATGGAGCAGGTGAGGAAGGACACAAGGAAGGAGAGTGCTGGGGAGGGAGTAGTACCCACCTGAAAAAGAGGACATGGACAGGGATGGTGCTGATGTGCCAGATGGCGTGGGCATCCAAGACCCAGAAGAGAGGCGGGAAGTCCAGGAGTTCCAGCAGGGACAGCCCCTGCAGCAGCAGGACCACCACCATGCACTTGTGCACGTGAGGCAGACGCCAATTCCACAGGCACCAAGCCAGCCACCACACTAAGTTCACCAGGCCTAGGGAGGTGGGGGTGGGGAGATGCTCACTCCCTGGAACTCCTTCTACCCCGCAAAGCCTCCCCTATTCCTATGCTCTTTGACCCCAGGACCACCTCAGACTCTCCTCCCAGCCCCCCACCTCCTACCCCAAATCTTTCCCCTTCCTCTAGCCCAAGGGTCTCTCTAGAACCTCCTTCTCCAAGAACAGCATCAGCCCCAAACTTCCACTCCAAACTGGCAGTTTTGCATTTGGTCCAGCTCCCCAGGGTTCCAGTCCCACCTCACCGATAGCCACATTAGCCACCAGGTTGTAGCCATAGTCGAAGCGGATGAGACTCAGGTAGGAGACGTGCGCGGTCAGCATGAGCAGCAGGAGGGCCCGGAAGGCACTGGCCACAGTCGGGCGCTGCAGCCCCACGGTCCTGCGTCACCATCCAGAGCTGCTCAGATGGAGGGTAGCCCGTCCCCAGAACAGAATTCCCCGAAGCATCCCCTCATCCCAACATCAGTACATGGAAGCCACTGCCCCCTCCTCCACCAAAACAGGCATGCTAGGCAGGCCTCCAATCCTCCAGGGGCCTGGGACCAAATGCTACAGCTCCTTGGAAAAAGCCAGGGCCCCTAGTCTGACCCCAGGGTCCCCATCCAGTCCTCAGGGTTATATGTGTGTTGAGGGACTGGGGAAAAAGGCCCTGCGGACAGCAGCCCTGGGGAAGGGCTGTGTGACCCCTTTCTGCCCCCGCCCCCCCGCCCCCCGAGGCCTGATTTTGCCCCTGCGGCAGCCAAGGTGCTCACCTGACACAGCACAGATAGATTGAGTGTAGGATAACGGTGGAGGCACAGAAGTAGTCCATTTTCTGAGGACAGGGAGAGCTGGATGAGGGGCCAGTGTGAAGGGAGTAGGAGGTGGACAAGGCTTCATGGAGGATAGGGCCCAGTGAGGACCCACCAGGGTTCGGGGCAAGGAGAGGTGGCAGAGACACAGCTGGAGTCCAAGCCCTATAGTCAGTGGGGTCTGTGTCTTGTGTCCCTTCTGCCCATTGCTGTTTCACTCCTGAATTTAACAGACTGACCCTTGTATTTACATTATACAATTTTTAAAAACTGTGCTCAAGCAGCAGTTTTTAAAAACTGTGCTCAAGCAGAGGTATTAGTGGAGGGTACCCGCCAAGACTCCAGAGCATCAAAGAATTCAGAGTGCAGTCTGGAGTTCCACAACTGTGGGCTCCAGTCTGACTGCACCCCTTTACTAGCTGGGTGATTCTGGCAAGTGATTTCACCCTTCCAAGGCTCAGCTGAGAAGAACCAATAATCACACCTACCTCACAAGGGTTAAGTGAGGCTCAAGTGCAACTAACAAGTTTAAGATGCCCAGCACAGAGCGAGTGCCCCCTGAACGGAGTCAGCATGAGACCTAAGGGCCAGCTCTGCCCCATCCCTCCCCTCCCCAGGCAGGAGGGGTGCTCACCTCTGTGAGGTCGGTGTCCCTGGTGTGGAAGACTGTGGACCAGAACCAAGCATTGAGAGAGACCTGAGGAGGGAGGTGGCTGGTAAGTGTGGCACCCCAGGGTGGGGAAGACCCCCACCGGGCTCACAACTGTCTCACTTTTGGAAAGGGGCTCTTTGAGCAGAGAAATGCACTTCCCCTTGCTCCTGGAGCCCACTAAACAAACCCATGCCCCTCTATTCCCACTCATCCCAGCTCCCTCAGGCTCAGCTTCCTATCACCCTGAACCCCCAAAGCGGGTGGAAGGCTTGAAGCTTCCCCAGGTTTCTGGCCTGGCTGGGAACCAGTTCAGGCAAAGTCAAGTTCCCTGGTTACTCAATTGCTAAAGACAACAGCTACTGGGGGGGCCTTGCCTCCTTCCCCAACTGGCAGGTGATGACAGCCCCACCCGGGCCAGGGGAGCCAGTGACCTCAGCCTCTGGGGGCGGGAATGAAGTGGGTGGGGTGGAGGGGCTCGAGCCAGCTTGGGGTGTGTCCAGAGCAAGCAAGCAAGGGAGGGAGATCAAGCAGATCCCACTGGGGCCAAGTCTCTGAGGAGGCTGGCCAACTGAGCCTAGCTTCCTTCTGGCTGGGCCGGCCCAACCCGCCAGACCAGTGGCTGCTGCTTAGAGCTCTGGGAGAAGCAGAGAAGCCGGACTGGAGGAGCTGGGGTGGGCAAGGGCCCAGGGGAACTGTTGAGGACTTTTTCCTGGAAATTAACTGTAAGGAGAGAGTACATATCATCTTGTGGGAGTTGGTGCTGGCACCTTTTCAGAGATTGCTGTATCAAAGGCAAAGGCCAAAATTACTGAAAGGAGGGTGGGCTGGGGTAGAGATACATACATGGGCTGGGAGGAAGTGCTGGAAACCAGTGACAACCAGTCAAAGGAAAAAAACAGCCTGCCTGGATGCCCTGGAGGTAGGGAGGGATGAGCTACAGTGGGACAACCCTTCGAGAGACAGGAAAAGGCCAAGAGCTGCTAACTTGGGTCCAATATGCCAGGAAAACTACGCAGGGCACTGAGGGAGCACAGCAGGAAGCCACTCTCCATCCAGTACTACAGCAAGAAGCTCAGACGGCAAGATGCGTTCCCTCATGGAGGCCTGAAGGGGCTTCTGAGAATGGGAAGAGGAATGCAAAGGGGGCCGGCAAGGCTCTCCTTGCAAAGCCAGTCAGCCCTGGAAGTCTCTGGAGGCTCCTGGGACAAGCCTATCTGGCCTGGGTCCTGGGTGAGTCCCGTATTTATGCTCCTCATGACCTAGACAAAGGCCTGAGGACAAACCAGGGGCTGGTCTACATGCTCCTTCATCCCTTTCCAGGCTTGATGTCAGGTGATTATTCCAGGTCAGGTTGCTCCCTCCTTTGAGGACCACCATCCTGTCCCATCCCTCTTGCTGCCCCTTCCCTAGAGACAGTAATGGAGGCATGGTCTGGAGGACAGAATAGGGTGGCTTCTTGGACACTGCTCCCATGAAGTGTGATGCTCAGGGCCAGCACGGGGGAGAGAGGCAGGCTGGAGATGAGACCCAGGTGATCACATGGGCCAGGTCTCCTAGGCAAGCCAGGAACAGGGACATCCCTGAGGAGGAGAATGGCCCTGGAGCCAGTGACAGAGGGAGGAGGGGAACCCAGCAGGGGCTGGAAGCTAGCCAGGCCTCCTTGTCACCAGGCAGGAAGGGGGAGGTGGCAAAAAGACTGAGCTAAGTGGCAGTTGGAACAGTGAAAGCAGGGGGGCGGTGCGCAAGGCCAGGGCTCAGCTGTAAAGCAGAGGGGTGAGGGCTACTTTCCCCCTGTTCGATGTTCCTATACTACTGAAAAGTCCCTTCTCCTCTGGGGAGTGGCCCATTATGGGGGGCTCCTTTTCTGACTCTCTCCGCAGACCTGGGAGATAGTGTCATTAGAATGCAGGCCCTAGGGCCAGACTACCAGGGCTCAAGTCCCAGTTCTGCATTTCCTGTGTGTCCTTGGGCAGGTTATTTAACCTTGCTGTGCTTCAGTTTTCTCATCTGTAAAATGTGAATAATCATAGTGTTGATAAGGATTTAAGGAGTAACACAGGTACAGGGTACTGCTCAGGGCCCAGGATAGGGTAAAACATTAGGTGTTATTTCTCCCCACCTTGTTGACCAGCATAGGACCCTCACAGCTCTCCACAGACCTGAGAGGCCAAGGGATCCTCCCACTCTTCCTGCAGGCCAAGGAAGTCTAGGTGGAGAAGGGGTGGTCTCGCCACAGCTGCCCAGGTCCATCCCATAGTTCCAGGCTAGGGGCAGAATGTCCAAAGCATTCACAATGAGATGGACCCTGGGTTCAAGTTCTGCCTCAGCCCCTAAACAGCTGTGTGATTTTGAGCAAATAACAGCTTCTCTGGGCCTCAGTTGCCTCACTTACAAAACAGGGTTAATAACAGTGCCCAGTGCATACGAGGGTCCTGAGGATGATGTCTGTGAAATGCCTGGCACAAAGAAACCACTCAACAAATGGTTGCTGTTATAGCTGCCTGGTACACAGTAGGTACCTCATAAGTACCAGTTTCTTCATCACGTCCAACAAACTGACCCCCCACCACTTCCCTTCACCTGATCCCCATCTTCCTCTTCTTCAAGGGTCACAGTGTTCCAGGTCAAACCATGGGGCCCAAAGGTCTCTCAATCCCAGAATGCAGACATCTCAGCTATAGGAAAAGCCCTGTCCTCCTGGCTCCTGAGCCATTATCCCACCAGAATGAACTGAAGAGATACTAGTTCCCTTCACTCAGCTTATGATCAAGACTCAAACGGACATAGGGAGGTGGAAGGAAGGGAAAACCCCCAAGACACAAATGCACGGCTGTTCTCGAACTCTTCAGCCAAGCTTGAGAAGAGTGGGGAGGGGGGAGATGGGGTAACTAGCCAATCAGATGGGCCAGGAGGAAGATGGGCTGGCCCAGCAGGCTCCAAGAACTTCTTGTCAACACTGAGGACAGGGGGAGACCAGGGGCAGGGTGCCAACCAGGGTAGAAATGGAGGGGGACAGGGAAGGCTGGGTAGAGGGAGAGCAGGAGGCTGTTTCAGTCTGTTGGAAAATAAGAAAATTGAGACAAAAATATCACAGCCGTGAAACTGGTTGGATGTCAAGTGAGCCAGATCTGTCAGGAATTCGACCCCAGCGCTAAGCCCCAGTGCTCAGGGCTGTCATTGACACCGTGGAGGTGGGGACAAGTGGGTCTTTAAATAGCTCAGTGTCTCAGCAGTGGGGGAGGCAGAATGTTAAATATGATGCCTGCTGCCATCCTGGGCACCCCAGACCAGAGGCTACAGTGTCTCATCCCCTGCCTCATGCAGGGCAAACCTGCCCCAGTTCACCCCTGAGAGAGAAGAGGGGAAGAGGTGGATGGAGATGGGAGGAGATGGGCTTTTTCCACCATCAAAAAGGATTCCTTGATTTCCTGTCATTGCCTGTACCACAAGCTCTTGTCTGACTGTCGGGAAGTCCTTTCTGAAATCTAACCTTCATTCTGCTGCAGCCTCAACCCATCTCTTCCCATAGTTTCCTCAGCAGAGATAGAGCACGGTCAGTCCCTACCTCCATAATCCTCCTGCAGAGACAGTTTGGGCTTTCTTGGCACTGTCAGGCTTTCACCTCTACCCCTGAGGACCTTTCCTTGTTGGATGAAGGGGCAGGGAACTGGTTTGGCCTCCTAGCTTTGGCAGAGAGCAGAGCCCTCAGTTCCATGAAGTCAAAGGTCTGTGGTGTACACAGCATTGGCGGGCTCCTCCAAAGCCTGGCCGCCACCCAGCCCAAGCTCAGGCCTAAATGTCAAGGCAGGAGCTGCCTTCTTATGCCAAAATTTCATTAGTCCTGCTGGGGGCAAGGTTTCCTCATTTCCCGGAGAAAAAGACTGAGACAACCCCTCCACCTCAAGGCCTAACCAAGAGTAGGTGATGGAGCTTTCTACCCCATCCCAACAGAAATCAGGAGCCCCACTGCTCTGGAAGACCCAGGCCCGGACAAAGTCCACTGCCATACCCTCCGAAAAGGCAGGATCCCTCCCCGCTGCAAATACACACAGGAAAAAAGATCAAGTGTAAAATCCAAACTGGATCATCCAAGGGTGTGTGAATGCTGAGACTCCGTCCCTCAAGGGTCTAGTGGTAACCTGAGGCCGTTCCATGTCCCAGGACACTATATCTCGTAGGGTGCCCTAAGACACTCTGGCCCCAGGTATCTGCCTTTCCCCACCTAACATCTCCTGCTCTGTCCCTGAGAGTCCTCAGATACCCCTGGGAAGTGTGACACCTCACCGAGAAGTAAAATGAGTGGCAGATGACAGTGAGATGAAAGACGCAAAAATCAGGGAGATGAAGAGTCATGAAATGACCACTAGCTTTTGGCACATGTCATGAAGACAAAGGCTGGGACCCTCTGAGGCTCTCTTAGACTCTCGAGTCTATCCAAGGAAGCTCTGAGCTTTGCTCAGAGAGTTCAGACAGAGCTGTCCTGTGCTCTCTGTTAGGGACAGGGATGAGGGGCCGAGACAAGCAGTGTCCCGGGAAGAATCTCAAGGGAAAGGGGATAGGCGTATCTTCCTCAGTTTCTTCGTCCTTCCTGCTTTCTTAGCCAGGACCAAATTCCCTTCTCAGTGAGAGGTCTGAGTAGGAAGTGGTGACTATCTCACCCAGGCCGGACGTGATAGTTTGTGCTGATGCAAGGCTCCTGGCCCTACCACAGTCCCTGCCCCCTAGTCTGGCACTCAGGGCCCTCTCTGCTCCATCTTCCCTCTTTCTACTCCCCTTCACACAGCCACAGAATGGCCAGGCTGACCTTCCCAGGTTGCCTATTGAGGTCCCACACTTTCCAGCTTCCATACCTTTGCTCCTGCTATGGCCCCAGCCTGAAATGCTGGCATCCAACCTCTTCTCCCCTCATATGTATGTGTCCAAGCCTGACCAGGCCTGCAAGTCCCAGGGAAAGCCTCTCCTTCTCTCTGGGCTTCCATGACAGATGTTACCATGTGGTCTCCCCATGTCACGACTCCCAGACTCTCTACCTGAGCCTCCTCGGCTCTGCCTGCACTCTGCCTCCTAGGCTGGCTGGACCTGTACCTCCCACTGGGCTCAGCTTCTGGGGCAGGGGCTTCACCTCCCACGACTGCTAAGCCCTGTCTCTACCCACAGCAAATGCTTGACGTTTGTCACAGTCTATGGAGACAACCCAGAAGAGGGGCTTAGTGCTCAGACCCCGGAGTCAGACAGCCCTAGATGCCAACCTGTCTCCAGTATTTGCAAACTTGTTGGCTATTAACTTTGGGCAAAGTTTTTTTTACATTCTGAGACTTACTCAGAGCTTGTAGTGGTATTAGAATTAAATGAGAAAATGTAGGTAAAGTTTGTAGGACAATGCCTGTCAGGTGATTTATTCCATCATTAATAGCAATTATTATTAATATCTGTTGAATGAATAGTATTAGGGAAGATCGGCATTTCCCAGAGGCGTAACAGCTCCTTCCTTGCCCTCCTTCTGATCCCCGTCTCTCCAGTCTGGGGCTCAGCGTGGACTTCTCAGCACCCCTACACTATCAGTTTTCCTCTTCCTTGACTACCTTCCTGTCTTCGTCCTGGGGCTCCCCCAAACCCACAGTATCTTAGTTTTCCACCTACACCTCTGGCCACTCCTGTCCTCATTGCTGGCTCCTCCTCTATCCAGCCATTAAGTTTTGGGGTTCCTCAGGGCTCTGTCCTAGTCCCCTTCTCTTCTCACTAACTAAGTTCTCCCTGGTGATCACATCCACACTCACAGTCTCTATCACTGTCTCACAAGTGAAAACACGAGGGTCATCTCTGATTCCTCTCTCCTCATCTATTCTACCGCTGAGGCTGTCAGCACAGCCAGGATGGGAAGGGTACGGACTCTGGAGCCAGATCCCTGGATTTGGACCCCGGCTCCTAGAGCAGGTTACTTAACCTCCAATCCTGGTTTCCTCTTCTGTAAACTGGGGGTAATAATACTACCTACCTCATAAGCTTATCATGGGATTAATAAGCGAATATTTACAAAATGCTTAGAATGGTGCTTGGCATACAGTAAGAGCTATGCATGTGTCTGTTAAAGAAATACTTTTAAAAAATTTAATGTCACCTCCAAAACATGGCTCAAATGCACTTCTCTTTAATACTCCCTTTTCCAAGACCCACACTACCTCTTTAGTCTAGCTACTGTGCCCTATGCTAAAACTACCAGCTAGGCCCCTGCATCCACTCTGGCCACTTCTAATCTGTTCTCTATAGTGCCCCCAAGCTTTCCATGGGCTGGCCTCATCCAGTGCCTACCAGTCTCACACCCCACTCCCTGGTTTCCTAAGTGGCAAGCCTCCTGGCCATTCAGGTCCTCATATAACCTGAGCTCTCTCTTGCCTATGCATATTCAGTCTCCGTAGATGACTCTGAATCTCTCTGAATTCACCTAGGTAACATTCACCCACTATTCTGATCTTCTCTCACATGCCCCTTCCTTAGGGAAGCCTTCCCTGATTGCCCTGTACTGGTCTAGTCCCCCATCACATGGCCCTACGGCACCTCTCCTCCACTGCACTTTTACATTCAATTGTGTGATTAGTACCAGAGGGCAGGGCCCATCTGTTTTTATGTACTTTTGGATCTCCAGCACCCAGCAAAGTGCCTGGCACACAGTAGGTGCTCAATATATGAATGAGTGGCTGCTTTGATGGCGGGAAGGTGAGTGAGTGTGGATTATTTCCCTATGGCTTACAGGGGTATCTCTGATCTAGAGACTTCCATGGCAACCTCTTACTCTCACACCCTGCCCAAGATTGTCACAGTTCATATCTGTACACAGTCCATGCTTCTCACACAATTCCTGACTCTGGATGCTGGCTCTTCTGACCAGTCACACTATAAAGCTCAGAGCCTTCCCTGGATACTCAGATGAAACATATTTCAGCTTCTCCAGGGATGGTCTAAGATCAGGCCGAGTTTTAGATGGAGTGCTGTGGCTGCCACTGCTTCCAGGCCTGAGTTAGTGTTGAGATTGCTTCAAATCCTCCAGAGGGGCCCTTGGAAAGACCCATGGCTCTAGCATGCTCTCCATCACCCATCTCCCTTTTGTGTCTGTAAACTGCCCTACTGGGTCTTTTAGTGGCTTCCTCCTTCAGGGCATCTCTCCCTTCTTCCCAAACAATCTGACGTAGGGCTCTGTGAGAAAAGTAAGGCCCAATTTAGCACATTCTTTGTTTCCTCTCCAATGCTGAAAACCTTGCAGCTATAACTTTAACCCTGGAAAACAGAAGGGAAGCTCAGTGGATGGAAGCCCTCTAAGGTGAGAGTGGGGATCTAAGAGTTCTCCCTTCCTAGATGAGGGTGTAAAGTAGGAATTCTACCAGGTTACCTACCAAGGCAAAGGCCACACAGGTCGGGTACATGGGAGAGGAGGCTGGCACAGAAGTGCGGTAGCGACAGAGCATCACCAGGCTGGCCAGGCCATTGAGAAAAGAGGCCACGGCAGAAGCTGGCTCTTGGAAGAACAGGAACCGGGAGAAGGGCCACTGAAAAAAGAACACATGGAGGGGGCCTGAGGGGCAAGAAACCCCAGCTGGCCCAACCTACCTTTTCTTGACTTGCTGCATCAATAGGTTCCCAGCTGGTTCCTTAGCTCCAGACCCAGGCAAAGCCTTAGGTTCAGTCCCTCTTCATGTCAGTGAGCTCCCCTCCAGTCCTTGGATAAGGGTCATCCCTCTATCCTGGCCAGCACTCAGCACTGTAAGTCCGTTCTCTGGGAAGACCAGGTAGGCCAGTAATAGATGGTTCTATATGGCCTAGGGGAAAAGCACAGACCTGCCATCCAGAAGACAGAGGTCCTAATCTCTCCTCTATCACTGACAGCTCTCTGAACCTCAGCTTACTCTGTGACAAACTGGGGAGAATAATTCTTGTCAGCCTCAGCAGACTGGAACAAGATCATATTGGACCAAAAGGCAGGCACCAGCATACTGTGCCTTGCTGGGCAATCTGAGGGAGGATTGCTATTTTAATCCAGACTCCAACAGAGAGGATTCTATGGTGAGTCAGGGTATTTGTCCTTGTAGCAAGGTGGACATTCAGCCACCCTAAGAAGCCCAGCACCACTCTTAAGGAGACCCCAAAGCCTCCTAAATCTTGTCACTCTAAATCTAGAAGCAGAACACATTATTCCCATCCAATCATAAGAAAACCATTAGATTTTGATTAGGTACCATTAGGTACCTGCCCCAAACACACACTCATCAGATTGTTTGGACAATGTAGTCTAACTGGGGGGTACTTTACTTCTGTCACACTATCATCTACCTACCCTGACTCTCCAACTCACCTTGCCATGGAACTGAGGCACTCTGTGACCTTCCTGGAGGTAGAGGCCAACGGTGACCCACATACACTCATACTTACAGTCGTCCCAACAGGTCCAGCCTGAAACAGATAAATCGGTCTGGTGAACCCCCCAGTACAAGAGGCACACAGAGAAAGCCTAAATGGAGCCCAAACTCGAATGTAGGTCAAGAGGGCCTGCAGGTTGGTGAGAACCAGAAGAAATCTCAAAATTCTAGTTTCCCACTTGATGGATGAGAGATGATGGGACATACACATAAGGGAAAGGTGTGTGTGTGCGTTCTATGGAGTGGGGGGTGTACAGTGAGCAAATAGAAATAATTCTTCTCTTCTTTCACTCAAGATAGGGATCTTGGCATCTGATGGGACTCATCTATGGATAAGTGGGTTCATGTTTGCCCTTCCTAAACACAGGATTTGTTCTCACCAAGGAGGAACCCTTGGTATCTTAGCCTCCTCCTATAAAAATGAAGCCCAAATTCTTCAATTTGACTTTTAAGGCCCCAGATTGTCTTTCTAACTTCATTTCCCAATACTCTTTTTCATGCACCCTGCTCCCTGAGTAAACTAAGCCACTGGATGTGGCTCCACTTTGTCTGTTCCCTCTGTCTGGATTGCAAAGAGACAGTAAAGAGAACAAACTTGTAGCCAAATAGGCCAGAACTGGAAATCTTACATTACCATTTACTGGCTGTGAGACTTTGGGCAGGGCACTTAACCTCTCTGAGTTTTCCCATCTGTAAAAATCAAAATCTACCTCAAAGGACTATTGTGAAAATTAACTATTTTAACACCTGTCACACAGTAGGTGCCCACTACGGCCACAGGTCCAAATTTACTGTATCCATCCAGAAGCCCTTCCTTTTCAGAATGTTCCAAATGATCACTGCTCCAACCCTCTCAAAGCCAGAAACTATTCCTTCCTCTCCTCTATGCTCCTATTGCTTAATCTAATGCTTTAGGGCTCAAATCATCCTCTATCTTGCACTTGAGAAGGTTAATGGCCCGTGGAGGCTGCAAGCCCTAAAGGGCAAGCAAGACCTGGTCTGATTTCAGTGTCATTCCAGGGTCCTGTATCCAGGAGTATTAAATAAATAGCCGTCTGACTTAATAGATACAAAGTAAATGAGAGGTTCTGGAAAAATAAAACTGGCTGATGAGGCTCTCATTACCCTGGGGCTCCACTCACACAAACTCACAATAGAGCCTGGGTAGGAAACTAAAGTTCAGTGATTGCAGAGGGATATTAGGGGGCGTAAGGGGCGAGGGCCATAACTAAGGGGCGTGGTTTATAGAAGGCGGGGCTTACCTGCTAGACTCATGTAGATTGGCTGGCGGGAGCGGAAGTGCTTCAGTGCGCCCCCTGAGCAGTTCCGCTCCTCGCACAGGAACACGCAGTCGCGGTACACCGGCTCGCGGTCGCCCTGGGAGCCGCTGGCTAGTGCGGCTGCCCCTGCTAGCAGCACCAGCCGCGCCGTCTGCCCGGCCATCCCTTCACCCTGGCCCTCCGCAGGCGGAGGAGCTTTGGAGTCTTCACATCCGGAGTAACCGGAAGTGCCTTGCGTTCTGTATTCTCTCTGCTGACGTGCACTTCTTTTAAATAAAAAGTACCCGGATTTTTGTGGGCGCCTGCCCCGCCCCTTGTTTTACTGTCATCTCCTTATATAGAGGCGACGGGGTTGAGGAAAACGCCTGGTGGATTAAGGTGCAAAATAGTCTTTTGCCAACACCCATATTTTTTCTTCCCAGATTCTCTTTATTTGCCGTAGAGCTATTTTTCTGTCACTAGCTCTGTTCGATTTCACTTCCTGAGTTACCTGGACCTGTCCACTCCTCTCTGTCTCCTCTGGCACCACCCTAGTTAAAGACATCATCATCTGTCGCCGAGACAGCCGCAGCAGCCTCTTAACGAATCGCCTTACCTCTACTTTTGCTCCTTCCAGTCCTCGCTCCATTAACAAAAATTCAAATTTGACCAGGTCACTCTCCTTAAAATTCTTTACTGGCTCCCAATTACTTCAGGATAAAATCCCCCAAGCGCTGCACCCATTGGGCCCCACCCATTGATCTCCCTCATTCCCCTGCCTCAGACTTACCTCAAGGGGCCATGTCTCTCCAGCCTCCTGGCTTTGTCTTGTCTATATCACTCTTATTCTCACTTTTATTCTTCTAGTTTCATTTCAAACACCACTTCTGAGAGTGGTAACACCTGGAGACTGATATAGTATACAGTGGTCTATTTTCCTCAGGTAGGGTGAGGACTTCTGCTGTCTGGTTTACCTGCTTTACTTCTAGCACTAGTACAAATTTTGACTCCTGGTAGGCGCTGAGAATTTTTTTTTTTTTTTTTTTTTTTTTTAATGAAGGAACAGTGTAATTCAGAGTAAGACTTTGGGTGCCAGATCCAGAGCTGTCAAATCACCAGTATGATTCAAACTACGCTGAAATTTAGAGAGGTGTATTATTTCAAGGAAAATTAAGAGAAGAACCTTTGGGAATAGGATATTTGCGTTAGCATCCCCCTCCTGGCACTACCACCAGCACCCCCACCCCATTGAAGCACTTGTAGCTAGATGCATAATTAGTGGATGTAGATTAATGACTGTCTTTCCTCCTCTCCCATTCTCTCACCCCTGGTCAACTTTTCCTTTTAATCTTGGAGGGGTGGAATGAGCAGGAAGTACACAACTGGGTTCCGTTAGTTCACACATTAAGCAAACATTTCCTGAGCCCTTAGCTCTAGCACAGGTGCTAGGCAAGGCACAACTCATATTGCATTTTCTGTGAATGGTGCCTCTTCAATTAAAAAACAAAACAAAACATGAATAGTGTTCCCTGGAGTTGCGCACCAGTTGATACAGATTGGGAAGTTGAAATAAACAAAACAAACTCTCAGCCCCTCCGGAGCTGACTAGAATCGGGTGCTAATACTATTTTGCATCTGTTAGATCAGTCCTTTTATAATACATTATTTCAATTTGTCCTTACTGTAATTCTGGGATGAATCTTTGAATGAAGAAATTTAGGATTAAAAAGAATGAGATACTGACAAAGCAGGATTCTCCCTTTGAGAGAACTCTGAGGTAGAGATATGGCCCTTTTAAAACTTTCAAGTTTCCAGTTTTGGAGGTTTTATTCTATATTACGTCAAACATATTAAAATGTGGCAATACCCCACATTAAATAAAATTTATAAATAACTATAGTTGAGTAGCTGTTAATAGTCGACATATTGTTATGTTTATATACATTTAATAAAGTGTTAATTGATTTCTGTAGTTTCCCTGTACTTTGGAGCCAAATAGAAAATGAGTTCAAGTCTCAAATATTTCATACTTGAAAACTCATGCCTACATGCCTGAAAACAATCCTGGGGTCATAGTGGAGCGGGGCAGTGGAGACTTCTGTCATGTTGTCTTGGTGGGAGATGGGGTGTTGTCTTTCTCGGACATGTCTTGAGAGTTTTCCCTGCCAGCGCAACCCTACATCTCTAGACAATTACTGGGCCTCTTCCTCTTCCCCAACTTTTCAGCCCAGATCCCGCTTTTCGCCATTGAACCCTTAGCTTAATCAGCTTCCCAGTTTGTATTCGGTTTCATATGTAAGTCACAGCCTACAGTCATAGATTCATTACTTCAATTTAGACTTACTGAGCCCCACTGGGTGTCAGCCATTGCACTAGGAAAAATAAAGATGAATCAGAAATGGTTCCCAGTCCAGGGAGGAGAAAGACAAAGCAAACAGTACAGTGTGCTGAAGGCTCGTAGGTAAACTGACCATATTCTTAGAACAAAAATTGAGAGGTGGTCTATAAGGAGGGCCCCTTATTCATCAAATATTTATTGCAGTTTACCATGTGTGAGGCTCTAGAAACAGTGATGAACAAGGCACTGTCCATCTCATGATCAGAAGATGGAGACAGGAAATAAATAAGTATCAAACAAAAGACTAAGATAATTTCACTGCTAATGTGGGAGTACATTGGTAGGATAATTTAGCACCATCGGACTGTAAATTATATATATCCCTTAGTCCGGCAATTTACACAAACTCTGTAACCAGCAATTTCTCTACTAGGTATACCTACACAAGCTCTAGGTTTACCTACGGCAAGTGCAAAATGGTGTTAAGTACAAAGCTATTCATAGCAGCACTGTTCATTATTTTCAATAGCGAAAGAAAACAATAGGAAATGAATTAAATTAATCCATACAATTATAATGCAATGCCGAACAAATTAATAGAAATGGGGCAGATTTGTAATGTACTGACATGGAACAACCTTCATATTTTTGGTAAATATAAAAAGCAAAATATTGAACAGTGTGTGTGTGTGTGTCTATGTGTTACTTCATGTGAAGAAAAATAAGTGTTTGATATTATGTTTGATATAACATTATGTTTGATATTTTTGAGAATATATCTAGAAAGATATATAAGAAAGTGGAAATAGTTGTTGCCTCTGGGGAGAAGTGAAACTGTGTGTCTGGGTGACAAAGAAGTGAGGGACAATTTTTATACTTGTACCCTTTAAATTGATACTATCTGTATATTATCAATTAAAAAACAAAGGAAAAAGGTTAAAAGAACAATTTTATGTAGTCACAAGTTGAGTTATATAATTGGATAATGTAATAGGGAAGAGGGGTAAAGGAATGGGGAGGGAGGGAAAGATTACATTGGGTGGTCAGAGAAGGCCTTTTTGAGAAAGTAACATTTGAGCTGAAACCTGCATGACCAGAAGGAACCGGCTCTGCTAACACCTTGGGGCAAATTGTTATAGGCTGAGAGAACAGCCAGAGCAAAGGCCCTAAGGCAGAAACAAGCTTAGCATCTTTAAAAAACAAAAAAGAAGGTCAAGGTGAAAGGTTTAGGCAATGGGAAGCTATTAGAAGGTGTTTTAGCACTGGAGCAATTAAGTGATCTGATTTTGGTTTAAAACATTTACTTTGGCTATTGTGGGGATAAAAGGGAGTGAAATTGGAAGGCGACAACAGCATCACTGGGAGATCGAAGGCTAATGCTTCCACAGAACTGTTAGCAGCTTAGACTAGCTGGTGATGTTGGTGGGAAAAGCATAGATGTCTTCGAAGAGGAATTGATAGATTTTAACAAATGATTGACTGTAAAGGGCAAGGAAAGAGGAAACAGCAGAGTGGGTTTAGTGAATAAAATCATCTGAAACTATAATTGTCCTCAAAAATCAGGTCTTCATATTGCCATGGTTTTATGTTTCTGGAAGCTTCTTATTGTCAGGGCCAGGGAAACTTTCTTCTTACTCTTTTAGTTCTTCTGGCTGGTCAAGTAATCCAAATGACATACAGCAGATGAACAGCAGAAAATCAAATTTTAATATGTGCTCAAGGGGAATTCACATAAGCATAAAAATTCCAAAGACAATGGGCAAAATTAGGTATATGGGTCATTTGAACTAAGGAGAGGGAGGTAGGCAATTCATAGGTAGATAAAAAAGCAGTACATTTGGTAAATTCTTGCAGGGCCACCTAGAAACAATGGGACACAGAGGGGAATCTAGCAAACAGATTTTGGCTTGAATCAAACCCTTGGCCACCCTTAATTCCTATGTGTTAAGGTGATTATGCTAAAGTTCCCTTCCTGAAGCAGGATTTTCTTATCTGAATCTCTTTAGGCAGGTGAGGGGGAGATAAAAACCTCTTCCTGAGTTTATTGGGCTTTGTTTTTGGCTTGAAACAATGCATGCTGGGGTGGCACATTTTGGGAAGACCTGCTCCTGACCCCCATACTGTTTCCTCTTCCTCAAAACAAAAGTCAGAGGCAAGCCTGTCCTCATTCACACCCCAGTGGTCTGCATCTCCAGCAACAAGGGGGATGAAGTAGTCACTGCCTCCCACACCAAATCCTACAACACTGTGACTAGGAACCATTCAATCCAACTCTCTTATATTTCAGAAGGCAAAGTGAAGCCTTATACAAGGCCACACAGTCCAGCTACTGTCTGAGGAAAGACCCCCAAATAAACCAAGGGCACATGTTAAGCAGCCAGCATAAACACGCAGACAACACAGGACACAGGAATACAAACCATGACAACCTTGTATGCACAGGCCAGGATGGAAGCCACATGCACTTTATGTACATGCGTTAAAGCCACGTGAGGCCAAGAACACAAAAGCAGTTTCTGTCTTGGCAAAACAGCCTAGAGAGATAGGCCTTGGGCCTGCATGCCCAAGATGGGGGTGAGAAGGCCGGAGGGAGATCAGCACACCGAGTCAACATGTCTAGCATGTCTGTTTGGGCTCTGCTCATGTTGATCTCAGGGCTGGGGCTAACCCTAAGCCCAAGGAGTGACCTTTCAGTGGCTAGGTTGCAAGTATTCTTAAAAGGTCACCTTTAGGAAGTACAGATTTTCTTATCAAAACCTTCCAAATTACTCTCCCGTGGCCCCAGGGAGGCCTGGTGCCTACCCTCTGGGGATTCCTTCCAAGTAACTAATTCATAAAGGCACTTCCCCAGCAATCCGGGCCCCAGACACGAGGCCCTGTGTGTTAGGCCCCAGTTTGCGGCCTGGACCTCGGACTGTGGACCGTATCCTCCCTTTTTGTTTGTTTTCAGTTCTCTGACCCAGGCTGGCTGTTAAGGTAGAGGGAGGAGACTCTGGTGCCAAAACACACACACACACGCACACACACGTGCGCGCACACACACGCACACACACAGTGTCCTATGCCCCCCAGTCTCAGTGGCTGGTCAATGATTGACTGGCATTTCACAAGCTGCTGGTTCCAGACCCCAGTCTGTTGACCCTTAGAGGTCATCTCCCTAAGCCAGAGCCCCTTCCTGCCTCTTCAGTTCCAGTGATCACCTCCACTGCCCACAGGCCGGGTACTTGTCCCCCAAAGACCTTCTCGTGCAGTCATACA